TCTTAAAAGGGGAAGTGGGACGGCAGTGTGTCTCAAAATGATATTCCCCAGTAGAAATCCACAAACCACACCAGAGAATTTCTGAATGAGGATGAAAGAGTAATGGACATGATCCAGCTGTTGGAGTACCCTTTAGGCTGCTCAATAATGGAGAATATGGATTGTTTTCTTGACTCATATCCTAAAATTGGCATGGTGATAATGATGTTAGAGATAGGGAACTTCAGGCACGTCGTCATTTGCTGGATGTCACATTTATCTTAAAAGTGTGGAGGGGGCAGAAAATCTGATAAATTCTTGTTGACAGTTTCATCCTAAAAGGATGAGGGAACTACTATACTGCACTCTTAATCCAGACCAAGAAGACAGAATAGTTGAAAAATTAAAAGGCTGTCAAAGACAGAGTAATCATGTAATCTTTGAAAACGTGATAGCCAATAGCTAAGTGTTGTCAGAAGGCAGTTAAGAGAGCAAGTTCTAGATGTGGCACCAGTAATCCTGAATTAATGACCTAGTTCTGCCACAGCCATGTGCCCTCAGGCCAGTCAAAACTCTTCACACCACAGTTTCCTCTTCCAAAAAAGGAGAGCACCCACCTACTTCACATGATCAAATAACTGGCTATCTATGAAGGTATTATGTAAACCTTACTACGCTGATTTAAAATAACACCAGACTTTTAACAAAATTAGCTATTAACAATAACTAATATTTACTGGGTATTGAGTCCTAACCACCAGTCAGATACTGAGTTTTATGGGATTGTCAGGTCCTCTCAATGGCCCTAGGAGGTCGATACTCTTTATTATCCCCATATTACAGATGAGAAAACTAAAATTTCCAACTGTTAAGTAACTTGCTCAAGGTCCAAAACAAGAAAAGTGGTGGAGGCTGCATCACAAGCCAGTTTTCTGACTCTGGTAAGCCCACGTTGTTTTGTGTGTGAGGAAGATTGCTCCCGAGCTAACATCTGTTGCCAATCTTCCTCTTTTTGCTTGAGGAAGACTGTCACTGAGCTAACATCTGTGCCAATCTTCCTCTATTTTATCTGGGATGCTGCCACAGTGTGGTCTGACAAGTGGTGCCAGGTCCATGCCCAGGATGAACCTGTGAACCCCAGGCCACCAAAGCAGAGCATGTGAACCTAACCACTATGCCACTGTGCTGGCTCTGAGCCCACCTTTTTATCCATTGTGTTAGAGTGCTTTAAAAATGTAGACTTGGGGCCAGCCCATGGCATAGTGCTTGAGTTTGATGCACTCTGCTTCAGTAGCCCGGGTTTGTGGGTTCGGATCCCAGGCGCAGACCTACACCACTCATCAGCCATGCTGTGGCGGCAACCTACACACAAAGTGGAGGAAAACTGGCACAGATGTTACTTAACTCAGCACTAATCTTCCTCAGCAAAAAATAAAAATTAAAAAATGTAGATTTCACAAAATTAAAGTCTCATAATCTAAAAACTAAAGAGAAGGCAGATACTGGGGGTTTTTTTGTTGAGAAAGATCAGCCCTGAGCTAACATCTGTTGCCCATCTTCCTCTTTTTGCTTGAGGAAGATTGTCCCTGAGCTAACGTCTGTGCCAATCTTCCTCTGTTTTTTCTATGTGGGATGCTGTCACAGCATGGCGTGACGAGCGGTGTGTAGGTCCACACCCAGGATGAGAACCTGCAAACTGCAGGCTGCCAAAGCAGAGCATGTAACATTAACCACTATGCTGCTTGGCCAGCCCCAAGATGCTGGTATGTTTTTTTTCACTTTTTATTGAGATTATAATAGTTTACAACCTTGTGAAATTTCAGTTGTACACTATTGTTTGTCAGTTGTGTTGTAGGTGCACCACTTCACCCTTTGTGCCCACCCCCCACACCCCCTTTCCCCTGGTAACCACTAATCTGCTCTCTTTGTCTACATGTTTAACTTCCACATATGAGTAGAGTCATACAGAGATTGCCTTTCTCTATCCGGCTTATTTCACTTAACATAATATCCTCAAGGTCCATCCATGTTGTTGTGAATGGGACGATTTTATCCTTTTTTATGGCTAAGTACTATTCCATTGTGTGTGTGTGTATATATATATATATATATGAGATGCTGGTATTTTTTAAAGAAGTCTTCAAAAGTGAGATTCTGACAATGAATTATGCAACTAATGATAGCAATTCAAATTTTAAAAGGGAAAAATCTGAAGAGACTAGTATAGTTGTATAGCATTCTCCAAGGAGTATGGATATTAAAAGGACAGCCACTAACACACATGTACAAGGGAAGAGGGAAGTAAAAAAGATAATAGAGTGGTGGTTCTGACCCAAAGGAAAAATACAGGGAAAGTCACAGTCCAGAATGAGCCAAGACCTGTGAATAAAGCTAAGGATAACAAAAAGGGTTTGTCAGAACTGTCTAGAACAACTCCTACTTCTTCCATTTCTCTACCAGTAAGTACAATCTTCAGCTTGAAGAGAGGAAGCCTTATGGAAAGCAAGAACTGAAGCTCAAAATAGGAGAGCCTCTAATTATTCCAAATCAGTTCAGGCTTCCAAAACTGTAAAACCTGATGATCCTGACAACTCCAGGGGAGCCTGATGAACTCCCTGCTGCAGAACTTCAAGGATGAGCAAGGTGTCAAAGCCTGAGGATGAGCAAACACAATCCTAATTTCAAAGAGGGGGCATCTACTGAGGGCTACAGAAATTCCCAGTCACTGAGAACCTTGACATCAATCCTTGTTAAACCACATGACTGATATATACCTAGCCCTACACAATAGATTCTTTTTTAAAAAGGTGGGCTTTGAGCTTTTAGAAAAGAGAGTAGTGATCACCAGAAGAGATTTACTGAAAACAAGTCTTTCAAGAAAGAATATAATTAGACTGAAAATAAAGGAGTGTACTATACAAGAGTGCTACTCCAAGTAACGTCTGCAGACCAGTAGCACTGGCATCAGCTAAGAGCTTGTAAGGAATGCAGACTCTCAGGCCCTACCACAAACCTGCTGAATCAGAATCTGCATTTTAACAGGATCTCCAGGTGATTCTTGTGCATGACAAAGTTTGAAAATCACTGATACACAGAACAGATCTACATTTCAGCAAGGCATTTGATGAGCATTTCATGATATCTTTGTGGACAGTAAGATTTCCTTCTATTAATTTGTTATATTTTTGCCAGGTAAAATGTTAGGCAGTTTACACACTTAATTCTCATAATAAATCTACAAAGTAGTTATTATTATCTGTAATTTACAGATATTAATAGTAGCAAAGATTAGACAGCACTATCTGCCAGGCACTGTTCCAAGGACTTCATATATATTAACGTATTTAATCCTCATAACAAATCTTTATGGTAGGTACTATTATTACTTACATTTTACATATGATGAAACTGAAGCAGAAAGAGGTTAAGTAACTCACCCATAATAATCACACAGAAATTTGTGGTACAGTTTTTAACCACTACTTTTTATAGCCAAGCATGTTGCCATACTTGGTGGGGCATATGATAGCCATGCAGGAAACAATAAACAATTATACCCAAAGACATTTTTTTAAAAAATGAATAGGATCTGCAGGGGAATATTTTAAAGGATATGAAAAATAAAAGGATTTTAAAGGAATTCCCTGAAAGGAGAGAGTCAAATAGACTAATGTTTATTTGAGAGCCTACAGTATGCTGAGCCATGAGTCAAGCTCTTGGCATCCATGTTTTACTCAACCTTTCCAATAGGCTCATTCGTAAGTATCAAAACATATATATATATATATGACTTATATATGAGGCAATGGAGGCCCAGACAAGTTAAGGACCTTACCAAGTCACAATATTTATAATGATACAACCAAGATTCCAAAACCAAGTGTGACTCTAAAGCCCACACTCTTTCCCACGATTTGCTCTGCATCCGTCCCTGGTGCCATCCCATTGCTACAAATGCCTGAGATAAGGGAACTGGGTCATGCTGACCATAAAGCAGGAGGACCTTTAACTAAGAGAACAAATATATTATAAAACAGAACATGGATCTAAAAGATCAAAACAGGATGGAACAATGGGCGAATGGTATTCCAAAGCAAGAGGCTTTAGAGTCAGACAAGGGTTTGAATACCAGGTTCTATCATTTACTATTTGGAATGCAAGCAAGTTACTTCTTTGAACCTTAATTTCTACATCTATACAAAGGGAATAATACCCCATAGGATTGTTGCAAGAGGGGAGAAAAGGTAATACTTGTAAAGTACTTGGCACATAAGACAACAAATGGCAGTGAACATTAAATCTAATAAAATGAAATTTAAGAAGGGTAAGTGCAAGAAAATCAATTTTAGAAGCACCAGATGAAATTTAACAGAAGCATGTCAGATGTGGACTTGAATCTACGAGTCAATAGTTTGCTAAGACTGCCAAAAATTACTATTGTGAATTTGGAGCACGTTACAGAAGCACATTGTCCAAAACAAGTAAGTCTAAAACAAGAAGGTCTATCAGACTTCATTTGCAATACTGTCTTCAGTTCTAATTGCTAAACTTTAAGGTAACTGGAAAATTAGAATCAGTCCAGAAAAATCAAAACCACGAGAAGCTTTGAAAACATAGTAACTAGCTCTTTCCTTCCTGGTTCTATATTCCCTCTCCTTCACACAACTGAAGCTACCTGACAATTGCTTCCACTCCCTAACAACTAATACATTCTTCACCTCTCTTCTCCCTTGATCTTCATCTCCCTCTCCCCCCTAACCCCCGCCCCGCCTCAAATTCATTTTTGCCAATGCCAATGTCAAACAGATCTGACAGGAGTGACTTGATGACTTCTAGTCCAAAACTCTAGGACCTGGCATGTCAGATGTGTTGCTAATCTGGCCCTGGCCTGCAGAATAGACCTGCTGCTGCTATGACCAGGGAACCAGGCAAGGAAAGGGTTACTGAGGATCTCATCAATAACTAACATGGTTTGTCAAATGTTTTCCAGACAGCAAGAAACTATGTGCTTTGTTTTGCAGATGTTGCTATCACAGAGAAACTCACACGTTTGCAGCAAGACCCTTGCAAGATGTTCCAGCTCCAAGCGTCCAAAAGTTACCTTAAACTTATTAGCATCTTAAATTCTCCTTCTCTGGGAGAGTGCAAGCAGCCATTTTCAGATGGTGCAACGTATGTAGTAGCATGTTTACCTGCTATGTTTGCACCCTGAATGAGCACATTTGTTACACAGTTGTTACAAATAAACCTGTTATCCTCTGCTCTCTTGTGCATAACGTCTCTACCAGCACTGTGCTCAAGGAGAACATTGCACTGGGAGCTACTGCCAGTGTTCTCCACTGCTTGTGTAAGCAATAAACCTTTTCTTCACCTACTTCTGCCTTGGTCGCGTTTCTTGGCTCCACACTCAACAAGAGATGAACCCACTTAGTTCAGTTACGCTGCTAATCTACACCAAATTTAACTGGCTCCCTGCTTTCTTCCTGAGACCCAGCCCCACAACTTGTACCCTAGGTAACTGAATCCTGAGTCTTTGTTACATACTCAAGAAACTGGGACTCTTCCTAAATGTCTACATGACCCACAGTTCCGCTCCTCGCTCAAAAGGGTATAGCTGGCCAGAAGACTGCAATTAAGCAATATCAGTCATCAGACCGCAACCACTTCAAACTCTCTGAAACAATACTTCCAAATCCAAGGAGGTTATCAGATAAACTCAGGGACAAAGCTATTCATGCCCATAAAATAGTACAAGTAGATTAGCTTATTGTACCTAAGAAGACATTTGAAAACCTACAAAGAAAAATGCCTGGAAAAGCTGCCTGCAATCTGGCTGTCCTCAATACAGTGCCCCATTTTCAATTCTAATTAGAACCAGGCTCAGCTCCCTGGCAGGACCCAGACAGTAAAATCTGGTAACTCCTAGTTCCAGATTCTCAGGGCAACTGACATTGGAGCAACACACGCTTCCCTATGGAATAGCCTTGTCAAAGTTGGCAGGTTTTCCTGGCTGAATCAGAACAGCCTGTGTCTCCTTTCATTCAATACTCCCTTGGAAGCCAAGCATCTCTCTAGGGAATGGCATCTGCAGTGGACATCAGGTGTCTCAATGCCCTGTTTTCTTTCTTTTTTTTTTTTTTTAGGAAGACTGGCCCTGAGCTAACATCTGTGCCCATCTTCCTCTACTTTATATGTGGGGCGCCTACCATAGCATCGCGTGCCAAGCGGTGCCATGTCTGCACCCAGGATCTGAACCGGTGAACCCCGGGCCGCCAAAGTGGAACGTGCGAACTTAACCGCTGTGCCACCAGGCTGGCCCCTCAATGCCCTGTTTTCAACCATGCAGACATCCTGGTTCCATTTCTATTTCTGAAGTAGATAGAGGCTCTGCTCGTTCATTGGATGAGAGAAACCATGGTAAATGCTAGTCTTTGAGAACTTTGCCTTGCTGTTCCTCTCCCTTGGAATAGCACAGTTACAGTCTAGAATCAGAAGATTCCTGGAGCTTTCATCCAGTTCTAACTACCTCTATACCTAGAGTTCCAGAACCAGTTTGTAAATCCAGGCTTTCTCTTCCTGAAGTGAACCTGAATGTCTAAACTCACTTCTAGATGGTTCACCAACCAATACCACATCACCCTAGTTATTCTCTGGATCACTAGTTCTCAAACTCAAGCATGCATTTGGAGGTTTGTCAAAATACAAATTATTGGACCTTACCCCCTAGGGCTTCTGATTCAGTAGGTCTAGGGTGGGACTTGAAGATGTGCATTTTTAACAAGCTCCCAGGGCATGCTGATGTTGTTTGAGAACCACTGCTCTAAATCAACAATATTTCAAGTCATTCACCCCATAAGCCTGGGAACAGGGTAAGGGAGAGGAAGATGTTATATACATGGGTCCACTTGTATCATAACACTCGTGGTTTGTCCTACACAGAAAACTCCTTATTTTCCTACATAGTAGACCTCAACTGCATCTCACAGGAGTTTAAAACAGATGACAATTCACACTCTAACGAATTATGAGCATAGATAACATTCAGTAACCAAGAAATGGTACTTATGGTAAGAGATTCTAGGCTCAAGATCAGCAGTTCAACTATGAGTGGAAACATCTATTCTCTTTCCTTTGCCTCACTAGTCGCGTTATTCATTAAAATGAATTAAAACCTGTAAAGCACTTAGAATAGTGCTTAGCCATTATTTTTTTTGTTGTGGTAAAAGATACATAATACTTATCATATTTACCATTGGTAAGTGTTCAACTCAGTGGCATTAAATATATTCACAATGTTGGGTAACCACCAACACTATCTATACCCAAAACTTTTCATCATCTCCAACAAAAACTGTGTACCCATTAAACAATAACTCTCCCTTCCCATCTCCCCCCAACCCCTGGCATTCTACTTTCTGTCTCAATGAATTTGCCTATTCTAGGTACCTTATCTAAGTGGAATTGTACATTCGTCTGTGTCTGGCTTATTTCAGTAAGCACGTTCTTGAGGTCCATCCATATTTTAGCATATATCAGAATTTAATTCCTGGGGCCAGCCCCATGGCCGAGTGGTTAAGTTCATGCGCTGCGCTTCAGAGGCCCAGGCTTTCACTGGTTTGGATCCTGGGCGCAGACATGGCACCGCTCATCAGGCCATGCTGAGGTGGCATCCCACATGCCACAACTAGAAGGACTCACAACTAAAAATATACAACTATGTACCAGGAGACTTTGGGGAGAAAAAGGAAAAATAAAATCTTTAAAAAAAAAAGAATTTAATTCCTTTGAATGAGGCTGAATAATATTCCACTGTATGTATATACCATATTTTGTTTATCTATGCATCTGTTGATGGACACTCAGGTTGCTTTTACCTTTTGGCTATTGCGAATAATGTTGCTAAGACATGGACATACAAGTATCTGTTCAAGTGCCTGCTTTCAATTCTTTTGGATATACATCTAGGAGTGAAATGCTGGGTCATATAGTAGTTCTATGTCTAATCCTTTTTTTGGTAAGGAAGACTGTCACTGAGCTAACATTTATGCCAGTTTTCCTCTATTTTGTATGTGGGATGGTGCCACAGCATGGCTTGATAAGCGGTGTATAGGTTTGCGCCCAGGGTCCAGGCCCGTGAACCCTGGGCTGCCAAAGTGGAGGGCGTGAAGTTAATCACTATGCCACCAAGCTGGCCCCCTATGTTTAATCTTTTGAGAAACCACCAAACAGTTTTCCACAGTGGCACACCATTTTACATTCCTACCAGCAATAATGCCAATATTGATTTTCTTTCCCTTTTTCCTTTTTTTAAATTATAGCCATCCTAGTAGGTAGCACTTAGCGACATTAATCATCACAAGTTCTGATGTGGGCTTTTACCAATACTTGTAGTACTTAAGGACAGCACGACAACAATTAGAGGTTGTGACCTGTTTCCAAATTCAAGTGGTCCTAACAGTTTCATTCAAAACACAAGTTTCGGGGCCGGCCCCGTGGCCGAGTGGTTAAGTTCTCAGGTTCTGCTGTGGTGGCCCAGGGTTTCACCGGTTCGGATCCTGGGCGTGGACATGGCACTACTCATCGGGCCATGCTGAGGCGGCATCCCACATGCCACAACTAGAAGGACCCACAACTAAGACTATACAACTATGTAACTGGGGGCTTTAGGGAGAAAAAGGAAAAAAAAATAAAATAAAATCTAAAAAAAAAAAGAGCAAAAACACAAGTTTCCAGTTGCTTCCAATTTTCTCACAAAATCACCTCCAAAACTAGCATTTCCCTACCTTGATAACAACTAAAAAAGAAAATGATGCTTTGGGTGGCCAAAGGAAAAAAGAATGGATAATTTTCCCTTTTTTTTAATGTCTCTGATAACTTAATTTCATAATAATGCTCAGTTTTACCTATAAACAAATGGCTCACTGGCATTCAGTTCAAGAAATGTCAAATAGTTTCTCTAAAACATTTAAAATCCTAATCTAAAAAGATTTATTTTTAAAAAGTATGTTGGAAAATCCTATATATTTTAATCTTGCTAGCTAAATCACCTTTAAGTCCCTGACCTAGCGAGAAATACCATTTTCTCTTCACTTTGGGAGTTTTCCAGGCATGGAAGAGCGAAAGTCTCAGTGAGACAAACGGCCATTCACAAATAAAACTGTTTTCTTCTGCTCTTGTATTATGTTCAAACAGGCCTTTCTCTCAGTAACTCTTTTTTTTTTCCTTTATGAATTTAAGAAAGAGAAATTTTGGAAGTATAGCAAGTAAAAACCAGTAGAAAAAAAACCTTTTTTTGGAAAAATTTTCTCTCTCAACTTTTATACTTCCCAACAGTTGAGAAAGAAAATCTAGTAGCTTAAGTATGGACAAAAAGATGGGTAAAGTGAAGGTATCATAGAAAAAAAATTTTCTAAACTGCAGTCTCATCCTAGTTGTTGATCAGCAAATATACCGTATATACTTGCCCATTATGCTGATGATAATATTTGAAAGATTAAATTCTCCGTTTAGAAAATTAAAGACTGGTTTTATAAAGGCAAAGAACAGACCTACAACATTCTGAGAGGTACAGTCAGAGACCGATATGAACCCTCAAGTCCATCAATCCCATTAAAGCATATAATTTCTTTCACAAGTAAATGTGCAGTAAGCAACTAAGAACAATGTAGCCAAATCTCTGTAGGAAAACTTGTAAATAGCTGAAACCAGGAATATGTTCAACCCACAAATGCCAAGAGAGAGCTGTTTCTAGAATATATGTATAAAGTTGTGTCACACACAGAAACACTGGTTAAGACAGAAGTTTACTAGAGAGAGCACTGCATTTAGTCAGGAGAGTCTGAGTCTCAGTGATGCCTTCCTCAGTAAATTACTGAAAGCCTCTGGACCTCATTCCTATCGCATAAAGATAATCAATCTAGGCAAAACAAAACCTGCTTCATGGGTTGTGTGAGGAATAAATAATGTCAATACAGTTCACTCATTCTTCAGCAAACATATTTTGAACTCACAATGTGCACTAAGGATGCAAAGAAGATCAAGTCCCTGCCCTCACTGTGCCTAAGAGGTCCTCCTCCTTGGTGGGTAGCCCA